TGGGAGCCGGAACCAACTGGAAAATGCATCCATCTGTCCGAGGCTCGATGTCGACGCGTGCGTGGATAGATTATCCCACGAGAAACGCGATTCTGGAAGCTCCGCAAATGCGCTTCCAATTGGCTCGCCTCACTGTGACTTTTTCTCCCCGTCCGTAGTGACTTGTGGGGGTGACGCTGGGCAAGCTGGGGAACGTCCTACTTCTCTCACCTCTCTATCCACCGCCTCACCTGCCACTGATGAAGTGCGTACTCCACCAGAAGCAACCAGAGACATACTTCTGTCGCCTTTCTCGGCTTATCCTAGGATCTACCGGCCTGCATCATTGGATGATGGGGGCGCATGGTCTAACTTTGTACCTCAGCCATTTGGGAGCCGATCTAAAAGCTATACTCTAGGCCGGGATGGCAGTTTACGACACAACCTATCTCATGATTCTGGCCGTTCTACCAACTCAAGCGGTAAGTCTCCAGCCAGCACGTTTCTGTCCCTCTGGAGCCGTGAGGAGGTTCCTCCGAAACCTGATGATGAGGGTCAGGTTGTAGGAACAGACTACGTGATAGGCAAGCAAATCGGATTTGGAGGCTTCAGCACAGTGAAGGAAGCATTTAAGGTTCATGGGGAGGGCGGACCAGAACGGTCGGCTGTTAAGATTGTCAAGAAACACCTCGCTGGTCAAAGTGAAAGAGAAAATGAGCAACTCCAAGCCGAATTCGACCATGAAGTACGCATATGGCGATACCTAAACCACCCCCACATTCTGCCACTCGAAGCAGTTTACGAAACCGATTATGCTACATTTTGCTTTACAAGATTAACCACAAGGGGCACTCTGTTTGACTTGGTCCGCAGACATCGCCAAGGCCTTGAAATGAATGTTGCCCGAAGCTATGCATACCAATTAGCATCCGCTATCAGATACTTGCATGAGGATGCACGTGTTGTCCATCGAGATATCAAACTGGAAAACTGCCTTTTAGACGCAGCAACGTCTACAGAACATGGAGATGTGGCCCAGCTGATACTATGTGACTTTGGGATGGCAGAATGGTTGACATCTGAAAACGGCGGTGGAAGCTCACCTGATCCGTACGATAATGCCGCGGATCGCCCTCCCCCCAAAGCCATAGGTCCTTCGGATACAAGTACTAGCGTTGCCGGAAGCCTGGAATACGCTTCTCCAGAGCTGCTATCATCCGTGAATGGACTCATTGATCCAATTGTGGATATCTGGGCTTTTGGAGTCGTTGTTTTTTCTTTGGTTGTTGGCTCACGGCCCTTCCAGGACTCTTTTAAACCACGGATCAAACTCAATATTATGCAAGGTCGTTGGGACAGCGCTTCTGTTCTGAAAGGTCGGGGTGATCAACAGGACCGGCAGAACGCGTTGGAGCTAATCCAGGGCTGTCTGGAGATGGACTCGATAAAGCGATGGACCATCCGAGAGGTCTTACAATGCCGCTGGTTTCAGGGGTGTTCTAACAGCACAGATCATGCTGGTGATGCTCCGCAATGGAGATTTTAGGCCCTGCCTTCTACCCATCGTGATTGCGTTCGTTATGTATGGGATATGACGATATGTTACGATTGTTTTATGACGGTTATGTAAGGAACCACCAAGGTGTTATGCAAAGTGTATCAAGTGTATGGTGTCCTTGGTGGATTTATTTTTGCATGCACGTTTATTATATCCCTTTATTGTCTTAGCGTTCGTATTTGATACCCCGTGACTCTCATTAACCAAATGTGTGTCGCATCTACTTATTATATACCTCTCTGCGTTCGTTTTGCTTTTCTGGTTTCTTATGTCTAGCGAGCTCAGGAGGGGTAGGCCTTTTCTGTTTGATGGTTTGGCGTCCATGCACGATTTCTCCCAATTGCTACGCTGCATAGGCTATGACGATTTTCCTTCTATTTTCTTTCTTTCTCTTCTTTTTTTTTTTTTTTTTTTTTTTTTTTTTTTTTTTTTTTTTTTTTTTTTGTCGTTTGGCAGATTACGTCCACTTCACTTAACATTGATGAAATTGAACCGCGTGAGGGTTGGCTGGGGTTTTAAGAATTTTTTTTCTTTCGGTATTTGATTTAGCATCCGGTTTTCTTTGCATATTTATCTCATTATCCTATCCCATTTCATTTGTGATCGGGACTCTCACCACCTCTCATACATCTCAGTCCTTGTGCTGAGTTGTGTATTACTATCGAATCAAACCTTCAGTTCCCCTCTATTCTTCCTTCACCACTTTTCCCTTTCCCTTTTCCCGTTTCCCCATTTTCCCACAATCATGTTTGCACCGCTATTTCTTTCGGAAATCGATAAACTCCAATGCAGGAACATTCTCATCACACTACTAGTGAAAACCAGAAGCCATTCTTGATTTTGGCCGAGCGGGGCGAACAGCTTATGTATTACCATGCAGAATTCATTTTCACGGGGCCTATAGGAGGGAAATTGGCAAGGGTGATGGCAATATTGTATCTCGAGACTTTACACTCACCCCACTCGATCTTTCACTGTCCTCCTTTGACTTCCGCCCCCAGCTTTTATTCGCTCCAGTGTTTTTTTCCGTTTCTCCGCTCCAGTGGTGACTTCTTGTTGTCATGGTTTGAAATGGGGATTATATTTTCTTCTCCTTCTTCTCTTTCTTCTCTGCACCGCTCTCGTCTCATTCTACAAATAGTCCACTTCTATTTGACCCTCCACTTTGCCACACAGATTGCTAGATTTCGCTTCCACGATACCTTTCTTCCCCTCCTTTTGAGAAAGGGCTTCTCTTTGCCCCTTTCTTCTCCCCTTTGCTTTTTATCCCAGCACTGGCGTTTTTTGCACGTGGTACTCGTTCATATGGGCGATCTCCCTTACTTGATGGGCGTGATAATGTTGATAATATGATGTAAGCGGGGGTGTTGTTAAAAAAAAAGGATTTAGGGGGGTGGAAAAAGGGTTACAATGTATGTTAACATAATTAGGCTGTTAATGAGTTCGAATAATTGCGATGAATTGCTTCTGAAAAAGTCTGCTTATGGAAGCCAAATTTTATGAGAAGTTTTGCCAGTATCAAGACCCTTTTTCAACACGCCCGGAAAGGGAAGGGTAATATCCGCAACTAGCGAAAGTTGTTTGAGTAGGAATAAGAGGGCCGGAAAAGGAGCTATTTGCCCTTACAGCACATGAATAAGCCTTTGCCAAAATATAACCTAAATAAACCCATTTGAGGAATTTGTTTCTCTAGTATACAGTAAAAACCAAACAAGGCAATGCAGAATCAAATACCTACATAAAAAGTCGGAAAGGAAGAAACAAGCCCCTTCTCCTGCTGGATTCCTAACACAAAAATGCAAAAGGAAAAGGAGGAAAACGTTTTAAGCACCATGCCACCTTCCCCCTCTACCACAACCTATTGTCGCTAGAAGGCATACCCTCCTTACTCTTCTTATGCGCCTTACCGGGTGCAGTGAAGAACAAGCTAGGTGTCTCCCCTTTCTCCACAAGATAACTCAAATACCCCCGATGGGCCGAATCACGATAATACTCGATATCCTTCCGGCTCGTCGGGTCCGGCAACCGATACGAGAACCCATCACCCTTGACACGGGGCTTATCAATGCCCATTCCGATGGTCAGATTCTCGCCCGCGTTGAGCCACGCAAGCGAGACGAACGGGTCCGTCTTGCCGGATAGGATCCGCTTGATTGCGTGGCGCGTGTAGTAGCGGGTGGTGATGGAGCCGCCGGCGGCTTCGACGGCTTCGATAGCCGTGGCGGAGGCCCGGGAGACGACGATCTGGACAGGTTGTTTGAGGGCTTCTTTTGCCGCCGCGGGCGAGCAGTTTGACGCCGTCCTTGACGCCGTGGATGCAGCGGGACTTTGCCAGTTCGCGGACTGTGATGGGGCGGGAGGGATCGAGGCGGCCTTGGTCGATCCATTCTTGGATACGGTCGAGGTTGACTTTGGCAATGTCGAGGGAGAAGCTGGGGAGATTTCACGGTTAGAGATCTTGTCTGTCTTCTGGTCTTATCCTCTTCCAAAGGGGAAAGGAAAGTAAATATGGGTCAAATGTTCCTTACATGTTTTTAAATCCATGTTCACCATGCACAATCTCATCCTTCGTCTGCCCACCGTTGAAGCCCGCGGGGACGCTTCCATGCTGCTTCTGACCCTTGTGGCCACGTCCAGACGTCTTCCCCTTTCCTGACGCAGGACCCCGACCACGTCTTATCCGTTTGTTGTACGCTGTCGCATTATCGGACAGCTGGGCAAGGATAGAGGCTTGTCTGGTCTGGTGTTGTAGGACTGGGAGGAGAAATGACGGCGGAGACGTGGTTTGGAATAGTGATGGCAGCTGCATTGGCAGCCGCCAGCTTAATCGAGGAGGCATTGGGGCGGTAAAATCGTATCTGGATACTCTATCTTGCCTGATGATGGAGCTCTCATGCGCTTCTCTAAAGATCGAAGATTTGCTCGGCCCAGAGTCATGTGATTTAATAAGTCACGTGATTATCTCTCATCACGTGTGGTCGGGCTTCCATCCAATGGAATATTCAGTGGCGTATATTCTACAAAGAAACATACTGACAGATTGGAATATTTATTTGGGGTCAACTTACTGACTTACGGTCTAGAGCGAGGTTTCGACTCAAGATGATATTGCGGGGGATGTGCCCAATACAAAAGCAAACAAACTACTCTCAAAGGCCAGACAAATTCAAGCTGGCTGATTCTTCTTCCCAGCCACAAATCTAAAGTCTCTCTTAAATCTAGTTCCCTGGAATCCACAAAGCCTAAAACTTGAGGATAATGGATGCGGGGGAGGGATGTCATTATGCCGTAATCGCATCATCCCTCTACCCTCTCACTACTCAACTTCCTATCCTCTTCGTCAATCCCTCTGCGGCAAATAATCCTCATGCGTCCTTAACTTATTGGATTTATACATTGGCCAATGCACACGGGCAGCACCAGCAGCGACGCAAGGCACCGCGAGCATGAGTGACGCACCCAAAACAATCATCTGCGTAACTGTTACTATTACTCTGGTGCTCGTCATATTCAACCTCTACCTCCTTGCGCGAACAGATCTATATCCAATGGCACACTACGCGGCGTGGGAAGATGCGAGTGAGGGAGAGTGGTTACATAAAACTGTAGAGTGTCCAATCTCATATTTTGTATCCCCCAATCTTGTAACACTGCTGTTTCGAGTTACGGGAGAGAGATGGAAAAAGAAGGTCAGGAGGAGGAGGAGGCGGAGGGAGAAGAAGAGGAGTGCCCCGTCATGAGATCGAAGCTGTCTAATACCACCTGTTTTCTCCTGTTGTGCACAGTTCGAAGAACCTAACTCGAAGAATGGAGCCACGGCCATTCCTTGAAGTGTAAGAGCGGATAAAAAAGCAAATGGTCTCTTGCTCTGCCAGTACTCCTGTGCTTCGTACCCCCAACCGCAGGGGAACGGAAGCAGCTGCGTGCGAGTACGTGGTCTGGATAATCATAGGCGTAATTGTATGTACATACTGGGATGGGAAGTAATATTTTGGATCTAGGAGAAGCGTTACTTAGTAATTCTCCCAATCGCGTTGAAGCAAGGGCAAGGGGGGCCATGATACAGGAGTAGTTGAAATGCGTCACAATTCAGAGATGAAAGGCTAGTTTTTGCACTAAGATGAAGTCCCAGTCAACTTGTTTGAACTCCTATTGATCGTAATGAACAAAATAGACTTTGCCCATAAGAGACACCTAATATGATAATTCAAAGCCAGAAAAGGAGGAAGACGGAGGGAAATCTATATCGATATCATAGTAAAAATGGGCCGTTTCTCAAGGGGGACTGCAAGCATGAAACTGAGTCGAGGAGGAAAGTCATACTCTGCGGAATACCGAGAAATAGATAATACATTATTAGAAAGAGTATAATTAGTATATCATCGGGAAATAGGATTAAGGAGACGGGTAAATTGCCCAGCATAGTAGAAGATACAAACCTGTAAAGCTCAAGAAAACAGAAAAGCGCCTACTAAAGGAGGGAACAATAAAAAGTTACAGAATACAAGAAGGCTTTTATGATACGGGACGCCAGGAGACATTAAAAGGGGGAAAAAAGGTAAAAATAAAAAGACGCGGTCTATGGTTGGTGGGACAATAGAGATAGATGGGAAATATGTAAATGAAAAAGAAAAAATAAAAAGAAAACTGGAAGGGAGCATCAAAGTGAAGCGCAAATCCTGCGGGAGTCAGAGAAAAGGGGCAGAAATCTATAGTTGGACGCTGGATTCCGTGTTGTGCAGTCTATTTCGCATTTTGGATATGTAAAAGCGTTTCATGGTTACTGCGGTAGAAGAGACTTGGTAGATGATGGGGAGCACATCCGTATATTACTGGCGGGGAGCTATGTCAATAAAGTTAGGTTGATATCCATCCACTGCGCTCGCGCTAAGGCAGTTTTGATGGACATATTTGGTTGGAAGGCTCGACGCTGAAAAGGCTCAGTTTCTTCTATCGAAGTGAGAATTTATTCTCGGGAGACATCACGGCCGAACATCTTCGCCTTTATCCAGTCAAACGCGACCAGGACTCGGTTGCGAGCTGAGAATGAAGGTATTAGCTTTAAAAATCCAAATTTCCCATAGGCTGATCAAAATTATGGGAATAAAGGAACTTACTGCTGAAGCACATGCTCAGATAGACGCTCCGCCAGAAGAGATAGGTAAGAGTTCCACCACTGGCGATATTTCCGCTCAACCAGCTGACATCCGCTACAGCACGCTCCTTGCCGATATATGCAAGGCTTCCTTGATGAGAATATTGGAAGGGCCCAATCTGCTTAGTTCTCCGCAGGGTTCTCTGTAAATTCCTAATCTCATCCAGGACTTTGTTGCGCTCTTCTTCGGTTGGCGCCTCCGCCTGTGCTTTGGAGAGAGCCTTTAATTCATCTTCGATAGCTGCGGTCTTGGCCATGGTGTTGAAAAGACGGGCAAGGAACGCGCCCTCTTGACTAGCCACCTGGGCTGTTGGCGCATAATTTGTCACAGCACAGTCGCCCACGGCCCAGATGTTCTCCGTTCCGTTCACGACAAGATATTCGTTGACTGCAAGGCCACGGCGCGAGTTCTTTTGTGCTGGTATTTGGCTCATTAGGTCGCGGACAACACCACGAACGGTGTTACCTGTAGCCCAGACAAGGAGGCCATAAGGGATAGTCTCCATTTCCTTAGTTCCATCTGGGTTAGTACTTTCTGCTTCGATGTATTTATCAGAGACCTTCTTCACCATAGTCTTCGTCCGGATTGTGATGGCTTCTTCCTTGAAGGTGGATTCGGTATAGTCAATCAGCTGCTTGGAGAAGGTGGGAAGAACCTGGGTGAAATGATAATTAGCAATAGGAATCGATTAGATAGGCAAAAGATTAAGTTCCGTACATTTGGAAGGGCCTCCACGAGTGTGACTTTGAAGTTATCTGTTATCTCCGGCACCCACTTCTTGAGGTCGTCATTGAAAAAGTCCTGCAGTTCACCGGCGAACTCAACTCCAGTTGGGCCACCTCCAACTACTACCATATGAAGGAGTCTCTTGACCTCCTCCTTGGTTTGGTCCTTGAAAATCGCAGTCTCCACGCAGTCCATAATCCTCTTTCGGATTTCCTGAGCATCACCAACCTCCTTTAGGAAACACGAATGCTCCCGAACACCTGGGATACCTAGGGAATAAAATAGAATGCATCAGTACATATAACCGTACTCCTAGCGGATCTAAAGATAACTAACCAAAAGTAGAATTCTCCGCTCCAACTCCAACTACTAGCATATCGTATGGAACTTCCGTTGTTGACGTATCACCTCTGATCTCCGATACATCACTGATGCGCACCACCCTCTTCTCGGGGTCAATCTTTGTAGCGCTAGCTTCGTAGTACTTTACTGCAGCTTTCTTATGGCGCAGAATGTTCCTTATTGGTTCCATAATTGAGCGATGCTCGATTAAACCGGTTGTACACGACGGGAGAAGCGGGGTAAAGAGGAAGAAGTTCCGCGGCGAGATGACGATAACATTGTAGTTTTCCGTGTCCAATCTTTTTAGCAGGGATACAGCTCCCCATCCGGTTCCTAATCCACGTATATATGTCAGTTTTAGTTGCCCACAGTCATAGCATAGTCGCCAACTATCAAAACTGGATGTCTGCGCACCTAGAATAACCAGTGTTTTCTTCGATGGATCAGGCTGTATTTGTTCATCTGGATTCCGGAGCAAGTAGATACTGTATCCCAGAGCGCTTGCACCAGCCAACAGAGAGAGCAATGGCAATCTGTACATCCATCTCAAACCTCTGAACCTCCGCTTCGGCTTCGGCTGCTGAGGCGGAGGCGGAGGAATTGGCACAGTTGCGTAAGCTCTTCGGAATGACCGTTGGAGGACTGGTTTGGACAGAGAAGTATGCCTCAATGGCTGAACATAGTGACCAGGCCGTATCGACAGAGCTGTAACGGATCTGCGGGCTACTGGCGACAACTGGGTGGCTTGTCGCGAGAGCATATTGGGTCGAGTCATCAGGAATTTGCTGGTCATTGCCGATTCGGCACCGCCGAGCTAAATATACGCCGAAAAAATAAAGCAGCAAATGGAAACAGGTTGGATTGCAAGGGGAACGAGCACACGAAAGTAAATGGTTTTCAACAATTAATCAACCATGTCAAACGATCTCTAGGAGAAAGGAAAGCACGAGAAAAAAAATTTCGTTCGGCGTGATACTGACTCGAATGATATCAGTAGTGTGACTGACTGGCCGTGTCTGCTTGCGGCAACAAGAGACTTTTTTTATATAACTAAGCCAGGACCTACTACCTAGTCGGGCCAAGACCGTTGGCAGCCAAGCGGGTCTGCTACGGCAGCCTATAGTGACATTTGAGTCAAATGGGTATTTTATACTAGTGTTACAATGAGCACACATCAATGATCTGATTGTCTTTTCATTATATTGAAAAAATCTTCTATATCTGCAAAACTTTTATATTTTTTATATATACACTTTTATATTGAATTTTTTTTAATAGTTAATTTAAATATTAAATATTATAAACTGCTGCTGTTAATATTTAACCTACTATCAACTTTTATAATAATTTAAATAAAATCTCTAATTATACAAGTCTGTTTATTTTATTCTTGTTTGCTATCCTCTCATCGGGGAGCGAGGCAACAATTAGCGTATTTTTCTGCCACCTCAATTATTGACTGCTTATTGGCTGAAAGCCACGAATTCAACTTGCCTATTGGCCATATCAAGGCGGTAAGACACAACGCTAATTGTTGCCTCGCTCCTAGACAAGAGAGTAGCAAGTTTATAGTAATATATTAAATAACTTTTTTTAAAATATTTTTCAGTGTAAAAGCATAATTTTTATTTATTATATTACACTAGTTCTAATATAATTAGTATATTACTATATATAATTTAATCAGTTTTAATTTTTTATAAACTTTATTTCACAGATATCTCAATATATACTTCATAGATTTTTTAAATATATATTAAATATAGAAATTTCTAAATATAGAGATCTCTGAATAGAGGTCTCATTTAATATAAAGCATTATTTGTACAATCTTCAATAAGAAGATTTTAATTGTTAATACAATCAGTATCAATTATATGTGCTCATTGAAACACTAGTATAAAATACTCAAAAAGAAGAAAAGAAGTTGTCCTAGAATGAAGCAATCACATGCAATCAGCTGCTAGTATAATAATAAATGGCTCCGTGTATCCTTCATCAGTCTCCATCCAGTTCGCTCACGGTTGGGCCAGCGGGGAAACGAGATTGATATCGTCCGACATCTTCCGTTGGGCACTTCAGCTTGATGCGCCTGAGATCATTTGGGCTTTACAGGATTGCGGATTGTCCCGAATCGATAACTAAATATACCATCGGCTAAGAAACATTCAATATCTGGGTATGCTATGCTAGGACGTGTTCCAATTTGAGGAGGGGTGGGAATTTACAGCCAGAATTCTACTTCAACTGGAATAACTCACGATGTTTCCCGAAGGGCAAAATGAGAGCGTCATCCTGGATACTTGGCGTTGAAAGGGGGGGGCTGAAATGAATACAACAGCAACTCTCAATGCTCCCATCGCCCGGTTTTCCCAGCTGACATATATTTATATCATACCGCTCTCGAACGTCAGAGCGCGGAAACATTCGGCCTGTATTTATAACCCTGAGGGCCTCGCAGGGCAATTTACGGCTTCCTGTCCCCTGAAGCTTGACACGTTCCTTCATTCAACATGAGAGCTGAGGTCTGCGTTTTAAACGGGACAAAATTCAATGGGGGGAACTCCATTTTCTTGGAGTCATATGGATGAGTCTCTATTTTCTAAAAGCAATAATGACCCTACCCTATCGTCATTGGGAATTTCCCAAAATATTTGTTTCAGTGATATGATGGTGCGTCTCAATATTTCCGGTGGCTCTGGAAATATTGTCCGCGATTTATCTCAAGACTTTCTACATATCTTCGGGAGAAAGGGCAGAGAAAGCTGCCATAATCAAGCACCAATCCCACGTTTACTTCCAAGATGGCAGCTCATGGGAACTTCAATGGACAACTTAATATGCCACCGGCTAAGAAACATTCAATCATGAGTACTTTGGAACTAGCACATGAACTAAAATGGGCTCTGAATTATATTTGACGACGGAGGGAAAAAGAAAAAAGAAAAAGAAAAATCCCTCAGCAACAATGAGTTTCCTGATTCCACAGGCACAGTGGACCTCCTGCTCTCAGAGCATCAATATTGAGCATGGACGTACCAGAGTCCGTGCCATTCCAGTTGAATTACGAAACCGGACCTCTCTTGAACCAAAACAAACGGGGCCTCATGGGTCATTGCGAGGAATGCAAAACACTGCTCACAAAACGAGAATGCCGGTACCATTCAATCATTGCAAAAGTGTACGGAGCAATCTAAATTTATTGGCACAAGAATAGCTAAGAGCAACAACAAGGACGACATCGCACTCGGATTGAACTCATTTGACGTAATGAAGTTTACCGGGCGCTGTGGAGGATTGGTCGAACAGACCATTACACAAGCTCCAAAATGCAGCCAATGCGCTACATATCTCAGGGTCAAGCTCATCTCCCATCAGCTTCCATGCTGCCATGGAGCTCAACCACCAACAGTACAATTCAATATATCTTCCTTCAAATAGCGGCCAACTTGACACAGATACCCCCGAGCAACCTAGGATACCAGCAACTTGCGGCCCTTTAAACCCATATTCAATGTTCAATATAATAAGCTTTGCTTTCGAAACCTTGCCACTGGCTATATGCCTCATTCTCATGCTTTGCACAAATCCAATTTCACATCCCCTGAAATACCTAGTTTGTCGTGCTTATGGCGTGTGGGTTACGGTGAGCACAAGCATATCAGGGCATCTCACCTGGGTCAAAGGGCATCAAGTTACACCTATTGAGGCTTGTTGCAGTTGCCTGTCATAAAATCGCGGCAGAACTCTACACCAGGGCAGATGGAGGGGGCTCAGAAAGCCGCCGGGTCGTCCGACACCACCGCCTAGCAATCATCAATTGATTTGGGCCGCCGCGCCAAATCTAGCTAAGTTGTTCCACGAACACTACGAGGCGCGGGAACAGAATACAAATGAAGTGGCAGATGCTGTTGAACACTGAGCCGAATATCATTTAACCAGTCCGTTGACGTTGTTCTATTTGACCCGGGAAACTCTGGCCAGGGAGTACGTATAAAACCAACCCATCTCTTATCCCGTTTTACAACGTGCCCATGGGATAAATGTATGTACTATTCCCAAGGTCTCACGAACGCTGATAGTGCAACAGCGCTCATATCCACCCAAATTCAAAGGGTGAAAGATATTCCAGTTCTCCAACCAGCAGATCAAGAGGTTTGTCAGGTTTAACTATCTCGAGACATCAATCTGATCATCTATGCTTGTACGATACATGATTTCTCCTGGATTGCTCTGGCGGCCGGGTTGGGTTGGCCTAGTTTGATCCAATGGTCATGCACATATATACCATGACATATATGAAGCGGAAACCGCCTAATCCTAGACAGCGATGATGTGTGCGCTATCCCCAAAGATGAGCCTGGGCTATTTGAACAAATGAAGAAACTTACTTGATGAAAAACCGCCTACAGCAAGTGACCAACCATACGCACCTCCATTGTGGCGGCCGCGGTGTCTCATTGAAGTTAGTTGAATGATTGATCCTACTTATTTTCCTTGTCTGACCCTCTCACCCTCGTTTACGATCGTACAGTACATTTTCATCCACCTCTAGCCATCCTTTAGACCTCGAACCTGTGTTGAAACACAGTTCTCTGGCGGTTCTTGACAAAATTAAGAGAAAAACACCCATAGATATTCACTCAGCCCGCAGGAATTGAGTGGTGGTGCAGCAGCAGCGTGTTTGTCACTTCATTTGGTCGCATTTTCGAACACAAGGGAATGAATACCCCGTTCAGCATAATGTACATATATTTACATCATCATGCTTCGTCAATCAGAAATTATACTGCTTGACAACAAGACTTGATTGAGGTGCTAATGAGCGCGCGATTTGATGTGGAGCATTTCTTACAGAGAGCAAGAGTTGTAGGTTTTTGAAGATCAAGGGGCTCAGAGCAGACCTGGTATGTGTCAGTGATGAGGGACTGTATCAGCAGATGAAGCTCAAAGCTCCACATTTGCTTGACAGTCCTGTTGGTGGAAGTTCAAGGTGTTCTATATGTTGGTTAGTTGGGAAGAGGAGAGGGAATAATATTGTTGATTCACACAAGCAAAGCATGTGTGCAAGCAATGGAACTTCACAACAAGCTTTCTTCAAATGAAATGGAAGAAACAGGATATTTTGTTGCTTTGGGGAAACAATGGAATATATATATTAAGGGTAAACTGAATACAGCCTTCTGAAGCAAACAATAAAATAACCAATCACAAATGAAAACTAACTGTAGAATAGCAATAATCAATCCACTTTGCTTACTCTCTTATGAGCAGACATCAGATGTTTTGTTTGAAATATGTGGATGCAGATATGAATTAGTGATACATGAAACAAGTCTGACAACAACACATTGAATCAGATCTTGGTGCTTGGGGTATCAAAGTTACAGTGAGAGAATCTCTTCAGTCTTTCCTTGTAAGAAAAGAAGAAAGAAAGTAACAATATTATCATCTGTGAATCAAGAGTAAATTCCGCCTTTGGAAAGCAAAGAATGCTTGATAAACAGCAACTAGCATCTTTTAATGACTAATATAAGATGGTTTTTTTTTGTTCATGTGTGTGCAATAATAATGCAACCAACATATCAAGCTCAAAGGTGTGTGTGTACATATATATATTTATGTTCTTGTTGGGTTGTGACACAATTCTTAATCAAGAAATGTTTCAAACAACAAAATACAGCCCTCCACACTCTTAAATGATACCAGGTTATGCTTGCAAAGGGAGTTAGGTTTCAAGTGTAGAAGTAACTTTTAAGGATGGACCTGATGCTCTAATCTAAGATCAAACCTTACAATGCAGTTGCCACAAGGCGTATGATAGGCGTTGATGAATGAGACGTGATTTAGACCCAAGGCAAGAGAAGAATAGAAATAAAAGTATAAAACCTCGAAACTCAATCCATCACTTCCAACCAAACCCAAAAGGGGGCGCTCGGTGTCAGGAGTAAATGTGACAGCTGGCGACGTGGAACATTTATGCCATACCATACCATAGTATTTTGTTTCATGGAGGAGGACCCTTTGCTGGTTGCTGATCAGTCATTTATTCTACGGAGTATTCTGAGCCAGTGATACAGCCAAAAAGAAGACAAATCCCAAGTGCATATCCAACAGGGCGGGCGGTGTAAAACTTCAAATCGTACGCTTTAAAACCCCCTTATTTAAAATCCATGCTACGACAAGCCAACTTCCGGCACTCGAATATTTAGCCCCAGAGGTTAGTGGTAGTAGTAGTTACAGTGCAAATATTTGCCATGGGTCGAAACCCTCATACTGATAAGTTGCCGTTCAAGTCGAGCTTGAGCTTGAGCTTGGTGGACAAGTAAAAAGAAATACAGGCCAGCAGCCATCGTCATGGCTGGAGAGCAACTAACTAACTTACAGATTAGTTAGTTACATCAGAGAAGGAAAGGCAGCGAACGAAACGTCAAATTCTACAGGGAATATAATCACACGAAGCCGGATTTTGGGATCCAGCTTTTTTTTGGGGCTGGTGAGATTTCGATCATCCATGGACCATGGAGAAATATGTCATCCACCAACATCCATTTAATATTGCAGCTCCCTGACTTAAAATCAGCTATTTAACTAAATAGGGAAATGTGACGTTGAGTCGGACATCAGCGCCTGAAATATTATTTCCGATTTCCCGCTCATTCTATGGATAGTATGTTCCTGTAAAAAGATGCCAGCCTATTTATTGTGAAGCTGGCCAACGCTTGCTTGCTTGCCTTGTCGCTGCTTCCTCGTCTCGTCTGTTAAGTTAGTTATTTGCAGAGCGAAGCGAAGCAAATATATGATGAAAACCCTGGTCATTAAAAGTGGAGAATTTCCTTTTTGAGGTTCTTGGCGCGAATACAGCTCACTGATTGATGTAGAATTAAGTGAAGTGCAATCCTGTGACATTGCACTATATCTCTGCATGCTCACAACGCGTTCATCTTTCATCTCATCAATCATCTACTTCATACAGATTCTTGAATCAGGGTTTTCATCATATATTTGCTTCACTTCACTCTGCAAATAATAGATTATACATCTCATTAATTATCTACTTTATACAGATTCTTAAATAGATAATATATCTAATCAATCATCTTTCATAGATTCTCAAGAATGAATAATATATTAAAAGTCTGTGTTCACTGCTTATGAAATCAGTCTCTTGATTAATTTATTTCTTTACAGTGTTCTATTACTTCTACAGCTGTCTGTCTTCAATATCATACTTAGAGAACTCAGGTATTGTAATCTTCTCTCATTACATCTTTTCTATTGCTGATTATCTCTTTACACTGTGTAGAACTGTAAACAGATATATATAGTAAAACTAGATTCTTCTACAGTTATAGATTCTGTGATAAATAAGTCTGAACTCTCTCTATTATCTTAGATATATTAATACTTTATATAATTAATAGCAGTCTCTCAGACCTGTTAATAGTCTATTAAAACAGATATATTATCTAAGATTAAGTTTTATTACTGTGAGATTTATAGTTTTAATATATCTTTATTAACAGTAGTCTATAAAGAGAAAACTATCATTCAAAGAGCTCACTGTGTTATCAGATATTATAGAGAATATTTCTTACTAACTTTATTCTTAACTCAATTGAAAAAACAGCTGCAGCTGTTATCTTTAATAATTAATTTATCTTTTAGTTCTACAGATCTCTCTTCAGTCTTTTATCAATTATCTATATTATTATTTAACTTATTTCTAAGTTAATCTTATTTCACTTTTTCAGATATACTTTCACTGTAAATAACTTTTATACTGTTTTTCTTATTCTTAACTTTTTAAAACTCTGTTTCTCAGAGCTCTGCAGATATGTTTATTAATTAATTTAATAGAAGAGTTAGCAGTCTTTTAATATCTCAGTACTTTATATAATCTGAAAGCTTAATTAATATATTAAATATAGAAGTTCTCACAATTCTTCAGAAATATAATCAGTCATAGACTATAATTATCTCAGACTTTTCAATAAATCTTCAGAGTTTTACTTATTTTACAGATTCAGCTGTTAATTCTGATAATTAACAGTATATATAGAAATTTTATAACATATTTAAAGATTTACAGATAAAGATCTGTAGCTATTATTAAATTCACTAGTTTAGAATAAATCTTTAAAATAATATTTATACTTATTATCATGCTATTGATTTGAGATGACTGTCTGATAAGCTATTTTTATTCTCTTAAGAGAATAATCTTAATCTCAGTAATCTTGATTCAGATCTCTCTATTCTCA